AAAACATACGATTTGGAACACCCATACAACTCCTGCAAGACAGCCAAAATGCGCTCTGGGTCCTCTCGTTCAGCCCTAGGCCGATATCGAATTTCATCCTTGGCTTCTCCCTCCAGATGATCGAAAATAAAAAATGCTTGATCTAAGGGCCCCAAGCATCTAGCTCTCATACCAGCTTGAATTTCCTCTACCCATTCATCTATGCCAATTCCATGAGTTCCTCTAAACAAAGGACATTTTCTTTCTCTAGGGACAAAAAGAACACGTTCAAAGCCAGGCTGGTCCACAAACGAACCAGTGCCAGATGAAGATGCCCCACCCTTTCTTGCAGGAGCCAGTCCTTTTCTGCTTGCAACTGCTGCACCAATTCCCACAACTCCTGCAGTTCATTAGCCATAGCGATGCTGGAGGGCGAGGAATACCACTGCTACAGGTCCACTGGTTCAGATGACCTGCCTGTCCCACATAGAGCACACTGCTGCTTTGCCTTACAAACTTCACATCTGCCCCACAATCCCACACACACACACACACACTTAAAACCCACGTTACATTGGAATTACTCATACAGATAAAACTCTTAGTCAAAGTATACAGTGGGTACGGAAAGTATTCAGACCCCCTTAAATTTTTCACTCTTTGGTATATTGCAGCCATATGCTAAAATCATTTAAGTTCATTTTTTTCCTCATTAATGTACACACAGCACCCCATATTGACAGAAAAACACAGAATTTTTGACATTTTTGCAGATTTATTAAAAAAGAAAAACTGAAATATCACATGGTCATAAGTATTCAGACCCTTTGCTGTGACACTCATATATTTAACTTAGGTGCTGTCCATTTCTGCTGATCATCCCTGAGATGGTTCTACACCTTCATTTGAGGCCAGCTGTGTTTGATTATACTGATTGAACGTGATTAGGAAAGCCACACACCTGTCCATATAAGACCCTACAGCTCACAGTGCATGTCAGAGCAAATGAGAATCATGAGGTTAAAGGAACTGCCTGAAGAGCTCAGAGACAGAATTGTGGCAAGGCACAGATCTGGCAAAGGTTACAAAAAATGACTGTGGCTGAGCTCCAGAGATGCAGTCGGGAGATGGGAGAAAGTTGTAGAAAGTCAACCATCACTGCAGCCTACCCCCCTATCTCGGGGTCTTGTTCACGAGTGAGGGAAAAAAATGGTGCGCCAGGTTGACAGACAGATCGGTGCGGCGTCCACAGTAATCCGGTCTCTGTACCACCAATTGTGGTGAAGAAGGAGTTGAGTCGTAAGTCGACCTACGTTCCTACCCTCACCTATGGCCATGAACTTTGGATCATGACCAAAAGAATGAGATTGCGGATACAAGCAGCAGAAATGATTTTCCTCCGGAGAGTGGCTGCGCGCACCCTTAGTGATAGGGTGCAGAACTCAGTCACACGTGAGGAGCTCAGAGTAGAGCCACTACTCCTCCACGTCGAGCGGAACCAGATGAGGTGGCCCAGGCACCTGTTTAGGATGCCCCCTGGACGTCTCCCTGGGGTGGTATTCCAGGCATATTCATCCGGGAGAAGGCCTCGGGGCAGACCCAGGACACGTTGGAGAGACTATGTCTCCCGGCTGGCCTGGGAACACCTTGGGGGTCCTCCTGAGGAGCTAGAGGAGGGGTGTGGGGAGAGGGAAGTCTGGGAGGCTCTGCTCGGCCTACTGTCCCCGCGACCTGGTCTCGGATGAAGCAGATGAAGATGGATGGATGGATAGTTTCTCCTGTATTTTTAGTTAAATGTTGTAAAGTTTAATCAGAGCCGCACAGACGCGTTTACACAGGCAGTTAACATCGCTCAGTACCCGGAGTTGAATACATTATCTCCCAAAGTACGTCCGAAATCGCCTACTGCACACTTACGTACATTTATTTTATGTCAAATACCTACTACTCTAATGAAAATGCAGGCATTGCAGCCACTCCACCGTCTAGTCCAGGGGTGTCAAACTCAATCACACAAGAGGCCGAAAATTAAACCACAGTCTAAGTTGCGGACCAAACAGGATTAACATTTGTTGAACAGTCTAAAACTGACAATGGTTTAACCAGAAATGTGAATTTGAACAGACTGTAACAACCTTTTCCTCAATAAAATAAATGTGAAAAATTCAATTCAAAATATTTTTTCTTTAACAGTAACATCAAGCAAAATAAGAATACTGCTACACATACAAAATAGGGTATGTCATTAACTCAGAATAACAATAAAGGTTGTCTCAGTTCACAACTACGTTGGTCAAGTTTTGGGTGAAGTTGATTAGGCGATGCTGCTTGTCCCTGAACACACCAAGTAGATCCCTCCTCACCCTGAGACACCATCCTCATTCACTGATTATGTTCTGAAAATAATATTAAACACAAAACTAAATGTCTTTTAATTCTTTTTCAATTTGTTCTTTTTCTTGGAGGCTAAATTTAGCTTACTTAGCTCCGTAATGCCCATTCATATTGTACTCCTTCATGACACAAAAGACACAGGTTTTTCTCCTTGAAGAAAAATAATATATTCGCTCCCCCACCTTTCGTTAAATTTCCTTCCTTCTGCATCAGCTTTTCTCTTCTTGAGCATTTTGAGATTAATAGTAGTAGTAGCACAGCTGTCACTGCTCACTTGCCAGTGTTATAGAGAGTGAAATTTATGGTGACAGAGGCTGGGAGCCTGAGTGCGTTAGGCTATTAAATTTGTGTTTTGGGTTCAGAAAATGGGTAGGATTAACAAACCAGTGGAGAATCAACACTTTTTTTCTTGGTCTAAATTCAGGTTCACCTACAACGGGCAACAGGCTATTGCTACTGCAAAACAGGCTATATAATATTACGTGATATTACATGCATTTGGAAAGTAGCAGGGGTGCAGGTGGGCAGACAGGTGACGCAAGTTGTTGACAAAGTCAGATCGTTTCTATTTGTCAGGGAGTAACTATAGCATAAGAGGGCTTTTTATTTATTAATTAATTTCTTTATTTTTATTTATTAGTTTATTGTATATATTTTAATGTATTTGTATGAATAGCAGAGATGAAGCCAAGAAGCTTGACTCTTCATGAGGCATGGGCTGGGAGGCACATGCTGACTCCCTCTGGTTGAGATGACTCTGCTGAATATCTTCACACACACACTGTGTTGTCTGTTTTGGTGTGTTGACATGCTTCACAATGTGGCAAATAACCAGTGAATCACATGGCCTGCTGCTTACTCTCAGGCAATTGATGTTTTCTCTATGGTAAACCAGCTTTCATATTTTTGTCCTATAGGCAGGGGGGATAGGACTATCTGTTATGAGACACTTTTACATGGGCTTGTGATTTTGAGAAAGGCTGGCCACATGTCTGTAAAACATGAGCCCCTCCTGTAGGTAACACTGTTGCACTTGCAACCCAGTCATAAAAACAAGCGCCTGCATATTGCAACACTGTTTCCATTTGGCTCAGGGGTATCTGCTAGAAATGTCTGTGTATTAATAAACCATGTAATCGGAGTCTCTTGCTGATAGCAGCTGAATTCCGGTTTTAAAAAAAACACCCAGACAATCATACTGAAGCTGGGTAGTTGCTTGTAATGGATGGCTCACCGTCACCGTAGGACTCCATTTTGCTCCCGTGTAGCCTGATAGCACAATGCTGCGTTCACAGACTCTGGAATTTGGAATTTTGTTTGGAGTATCCATTAATCGCTTAAAAACGAAAAATGTGAAAGAAAACATGATAATAGCACGTTTATTAATGACACTGATGGTGTTTCATTGCGGGGTAGTTGTTATCTGTTCCATTATTCCTTGTCACAGTTATTAGTAGGATTATTAGTTAGCCTATTAGACAGTTATATAGGCCTACAAGTAAAATCAAAAGGAGAGAAGACTGTGCTACAGACATAGGTAGTACAATAACCATAGAGGAGACTAACACACAGCGAGGCAACCAAACAGCAGGATAAATGTTTAGATTTGTTTCCTCTGTTTCTTATATCCTACAATAAAAGTTTAATTACTTCATTGAAAGGAAGTGGCCATGTGCATTCATGTAAATATATAGGCCTAGACTACCGGTTTATTATGCTGTATGTAAGTATAGGAATCACGTGGTCTATTGTTCCTTAATTTCCGTGTAGAAACAGCTCAACGCATGACTATAATCTTACGTAGTGGGATTGGGGTACCCACAGAGAGCAAGTGAAGGCATCATGAGCCTGCCCCTCTCAGCAGCAGTCAGCTGCGCATTTACTTGCTTTATCAGTGGTGTCCCCACGGTAGTTGCTGATCCAAACCTTGGACTTTCATCTCGGAGAGTGACGTAGCACATCATCGGAGCTCCTTATCATCAGTTTCCTCTCCCGCTACATTTTCTAGCCAAGCTGTTGCGGACCTTGTCCAGGGCGCATCGGGTTAACAGGGTTTTTTCTTTATTAGCCTTTATCTTAAAATGACGTTAAAATCCAATAAAAACGAGCCAGCTGTCATACTGGAGCCTGTGAACAGCATTCGGACAGCGCTCTCCGATCTGTACCTGGAGCAGCTACTTCAACAACACAAACCTAAGTTTGACAAGGTAAGGTACCTTTTATTTTTATACACACACATATATATA